CTGTGCATTTCCCATCCCACAGGCAGCCCTCCTTTGCAGCCGTCCTTCCCAGTGCTGATGGAATGATCGACCTCAGTACTGCAGCTGTCTGGGTACAGCTTTAGACATTGCTCTGAGGGATTCTTGCGTTTCAGCATTGGAATAGATTAAAGGAACACCAGGAAATACCCCCCCCCTCCCCCAGCTTCTAAGTTGAGAGTCACTTCTAGGGCTGGCAACTTAGCTCTCTCCATGGGTAGAGCATTGCTGGGTAGACACATCCTTCCCAGTAGGTCTATCTCTACACACCATTATCCCTTACACCATTGGCCAGTTTATAGCCTTCCTTTACTTTGCTCTTTGTGTGGTATGTCTTGGCATTCATTCTAAAAAGGCCATAGAGAGTGTCCTCATTGTTCCTTTGACCTTGTGACATTCTTCCATTGGTCCAGTGTGGGGATCTGAGGAAGCCTTAAGAGAATGTGTAAAGAGCCAGTGAAGCTCAGATTGTTGACATGGATGTGACCATGGCAAGGATCAAAGCCTCAGACTCATAGACATGGCAGAGCCTTCTCCAGGTGAGGCTGAGAGGGATAGCAAAGTTTTTCTCTGATCCCAACTGGGACTACAAATGTAGGCAGCTGTTACAAACTAGGAGCTGCAGCTCCCTCCTCCCTGGTGTCTACAGCAGCCCCACCTCACTAGCTCACTGCTCCCCACCAGCTGTGCGCAATGAGCACACAGGTTCTAGACTGTGCAGTGCGAGCATGCACAGTCCACCTTTCCCAGCTTTTCTGTGTCTGTCCTTCCTTCATTCCCTGATACCCCTAGTCAGGTCACACCCCGGTTATATGGGACATGGCAGCACAGAGCCAGGATTCATGTGACACACTTCCTCCCCTAGAAGCGGAGGTGGCTCCAGCAAGGGGCTCTAACAGGACTCTGGCTTCTTCTGTTCTTCTCCTCTGACCTGGCTCTCCCACACCATCACCCCACTTCCTGTGAACTCTTGCCCTGATAATTTGTCTCAGGAGTAGGAAGGATCCATGGAGCTGGACCCATCTCCTTTTCCTGTGCAGGCTCCAGTCCTGGGCAGCTTCATACCCAGATCCCAGCAGAAAGGGCTGTGGTGACCAGGAAGATAAGCCCGGCTCCTACTGGCCCAGTTTCTAGAGCTCACTAACTGGTAGCAAGCTGGTGGAGACTAGGCAAACGGGAGCCGCGCACGGGTAGAAAGGGGAAAGAGGCCCTAAGAGGCCCTTTGATTGTCCTCAGCTCCTAGGAAAGTGTCCCGGTGACCCTGCTACCCTGTGGGCAACACTAAGACCATTTTCTGTCTGCTGCATTCGCCAGCTGGGAGGGATACTAAGAGGCCTCAGCAGGCCAGGCCTGTGTGTGCTGGGTGGCCTGTTGCCAGCTGCATACAAGGCTTTGTCCCTTGTGCTGTGGGTTTCCTTTGTTTTTGTCCCGCCAGGTGGAGCTCTCAGGGCCAAAGAGCTTCTGAGCAGAAGCATGGAGATGAGATGTCTGTTCTAGAGGACCCTGCTGTAGTCAGTTAGGATGACTTCAGCCTTTCACACCCGACCTCTGGGCATCCACGTGGATACTAATGGTTTTCCATGTCTCAAAAGCATCAAAACCAAGATTTGGGCCCAGGTCACACTATTAAGATCCAGGACTAGACCCCCCCCCCCCCTTTCCCCAGCAGCTACTTATTCTATGGAGGGGCGAGGGAGTCAGAACCAGCAGTTGGCTCCCATGATCCCCAGAAGAATGGCCTCCCGGTGTGAGTGCAGGCAGCTCCGCATTTCCTGACCCACTAAGAAAGTGGTAGGTGGTGGCTCGCCTTGCTAATCTGGCTGGCATGTGGTCCCACCACACCCAGTCTTTAGAAAGAAGGCTGCTCAGCTGTCAAAGGAACTTGCTTTTGGAGAGCCTGGTCTGGCATTTTACCTGTTGTCCCTTTTCTGTCACCTACTCTGTTAATGTAATCTCCATTCCCCCCACCCCTTTGTGTGTGTGTGTGTGTGTGTGTGTGTGTGTGTGTGTGTGTGTCTTTCCTAGGGAGGACAGCATGCTTTCTTAACAAGTGTCCTAAAAAGTAGTTTATTAAAATGTAGTAGTTGTCTTCTATTTCCTGTCCCATGTAAGCCTCAGGACATTCAGGTACCATGCCCTTTGGACTAGCCTCTTGTATTATATTTTATTTGTTTGTTTGAGATATAATCTCACTTTGTAGCCCAGGCTAGCCTTGAACCCACAATCCATCCTCCTCTTACTAAGTCCTGGGATTATAGGTGAACAAGATCACACCTGCTTATATTTTAATTTTGCTTTGCTTTGCTCTACTTTGGCAGGGTGGGGGTTGTTCTGTTTAAGAAAGGGGTCTTGCTGTATTGCTGAGACTTGCTAGAATTCATCTTCCCACCTCAGCCTGCTAAATGTTGAGATTACAGGCCTGCACCTCCATGCCCACACTTCATTGCCTGTATTTCTGTTCCTCCTTGTTCTCAGTGAGCTGTGGGTGTTATGCACAGTAATTCTGGAGTCATCTGAGGTTCTGGATTGCTCCTTTTCCTCCGGAGAGAATTTATGTCCTTCTCACCAGCAGCTGCTCTAGCAGTTCCCTGACCCATCCTTTGGACACCGATGGAGTTCCAGTTCCATTGCACACCCTGCTGAGGGGAGACCCACCTGCCCTGGTGTCTTTCAGGTTGCTTCTAGCTCTGGCAGAGTCACGTGCTGCAGGTCCACCCATTCTTAGGATGGAGTCACAACGAAAAGCCCACCCAGGGCTTTGCCAGGGCCCTGCTCGTCCTTGGCCCCACTACATTCTTCTGTCTCCCACCTGAGATTGCAGCAGGAAGCTCATCTTTGCAGACCCCACTTAAGAGATGCCCGTGGCAGGCAGGCCCTTGTCCTGCAGTTCTTATCTCTGCCTGCAGCTCCTGCAATCCTGTCATCTTGGCGCTTCTCCAAGGCCAGTCAGTAGATGTTTAAACTGGGTCTCCAGTCAGGTTTGCTAAATTGTTTGTGGAAAAGGGAATTAAATCTTAGAAAAGTCTCCAGCACAACCCAGTGCTCCTTCCCCGAGACTCCTGCCCTGGGCAGTGGGCCAGGGCAGCTAGTCAGTCTGCCTAAAGAGGGCCTCTTCCTTTGCCCTCAGAGTGAGTCAGGTGAGGGCTTGAACCCAGCTTGATGGAGCCAGGCACACAGCACAGCCTCCATAGTCATTGACGTGGAATCCGAGGCCCCGAATGGGTCCTCTCACAGTGAAGGCCTAGATTGACTGCTCTCGAGTGGTGCACGTCCACACACTCAGGGCTTACTCCACGACTGGAGCTGGGAAGTAGGCACAGGGCTGCAGCTTTCTGCTGTGACTTTTCCCTCCCGTCCTGGGCTCCCCATCATCCCGGTGACCTCCTGAAGACCTGGGGCTGCAGATGGAGCTTCTTGCTGCAGACTCCCTTCTTCTGACTAATCATGGAACCTGGACCTAGTTGTGGGGTTTGGGGTTTTTGTTTCCTTCCTTTCAGTAATCCCTGCCATTTTCTTCCCACACCCAGTTTCTCTTCCTCTTTTTCCCCACCCCATAGTGAACTAAAGCCATGGTAGCAAATAGGCTCCGCTCTCTCACTGTGTGCCTCAGTGACCTGCTGCTTACCGCAGGCTTGAGCAGGCATAGGGAACAGAGACAGGGTACCCCTGCGAGTGTGGGACGGGCCATGTGGGTACTGGTACTCCCCAGGGCCTTGGCAGGAGGGAGGAAATGGTATGTTGGTATGTGAGCTGGGAGCAGGGCACAGGTGAAGCTCCAAGTTCACAGCGTTGTCCTTAGTTGTGTGACCACAGGTGTCATGCTCCTCACTGTAGAATGGCTTGCCCTTTCTGGGACCTAGGCAGAGGTCTCACAGTTGGAAGGCTGTCTGAAAACCCAGAACTTTCTGTGGGGCCAGAGTTCAAGGCCCCATAATAGAGTGGGGAAAACAGGCGTTAATTGTGCCTCTCTGGCCTAGGGGTCTGTCTGCTATCTACATCTCCCCATCACTAAGCTCAGAGGCCCCATTGGAATTCTCACCTTGCTGTCCTTTGGGGTAGCCAGGGCCCCCTCTTCCTAGGGACAGTACTCTGTATGTGATTGGGGTTTGATGAGCTGCTGAACTGGAAGGTGGCCTGCAGAGAGATAAAAGGCCTGGGTTTGGGCTCCTGCTGGGTGATTCTGACCCCTGAGACTCCATACCCCTAGGTTTGGGTTTCCCTAACTGCATTCAAAAGACCTTTCAGGGCATGAGCTTCGTAGGTCTCACCAGCATGCAGAGTGAACCATGGCTTCCCAGCCTTGTGTATGTTGTGCCTGTCCCCATGGCATTTGTGGGCCACTGTCATCAGGTGTGGAGGGGATCAACCTAGTGTCTTCTGCAGTCTGGTCCCATCCACTATAGCCTCAGGCCCAGAAGCCACCCCCGGAATCTTTGTCTATCATACTGCCTTTGTTTGTCGCACACACACACATATTTAGGTCACTCAGCCACACGCCCTTGGCCCAGTACACCCAAGACCCTTTCCACTAAAGGTGCTAGACTATGTGACATACCCTGGCTCCAGGACACGAAGGCTCTGCCAAAGATGACTGGGCTTGCATCGCTAGTGTGGAAGGCTCTCTCTTTTAGGAGTGACTCAACCCACGAGCTTTGGCATAGCCTTGTTCTCAGATGTGCAGTCACTGCTGTGTGACCTCAGGACAATGGCATAGTCTCTGACCCTTAGGCCCCATAACTGTCGAATGGTAATTTCAAAGAGTAATTCAGGAGATACTAGTGAATGTTCCTAGTCATCCTGGCCCCAGCTCCTGGAATATGGGGGGGGGGGGTGGCTGATGCTTAAGTTCTGTTCCTCCCTTCACTCGGCCCTCTCTAGATAAATAGGAGGAGCACTGGAACTTGTAAGCTGTGGGAAGCAAATGAGCAGCACCCACCCCACCCACTGCTGTACTGAAGGACTGCTGTGCTCCACTCTCACAGGGGTCTCAGGCTTCGCAACTATGTCCCGGAGGATGAGGACCTGAAGAGGAGGAGGGTCCCCCAGGCCAAACCAGTTGCAGGTACGTGGGCTGCCCTTTCCTCCCTATGTCTTGTCAACCTCAGAGAAGGGCTGCCTGTCCCGGAGACAGGGCTTCTGGGACACTCGCAAACCTCAGCGCCCACAAAGGGGCCATGAGGGCAGGAAAGAGGCCCCTTGCACTTCCCATCCTGGAGGGATGACGAGTAGAAGTGACCTGGGGTCCTTGGGCAGCATGGCAAGGTGGTGAGTCCTGTGCCCCTGGGGAGAGGAGCAGAATAAGAGACCCCAAAAGAAGCTGGTTAGACACTTGAACAGCCAGCAGCAGCACAAAGGCCAGCGAGGGGCTCAGCTCAGGTTTTGCCGCTGCCATAATGCAGGGTGAGAGCCTGGTCACAGCAGCAGAATCCTCCTTTGTCCTGAAGCCTCTGCTTGTGTCTGGTTGCTTTAAGACAGGCTCTCACGTGGAGCTCACAGATCCACCTCATCAGAAACTCAGACATTTTCATTTGTTTCTTGCTGGTCCACTTCTCACCTGGCAGAGCGGTGGCAGGGTGTGAGAGGGATGAGGAACTGCCCCTTCCCTCCGCCAGGAGGCCACCCAGGACTTCTGTCTGGCAGGAGAATGAAGGGACAGAAGGACATGTCCTTGGTGACAGGACTGAAGGAAACCCAGAGCCGGTGGTTGTTAGTGTTTCTGGCATCTGTCCTCAGGAGCCACCCAGAAGCATAATGACTTGGTGGAGGCAGGAGGTGCCTGTCAGTGAGTCCCCGAGGTGGGATGGGAAGAGAGGCCACCAGACCCTGGCCAGGAGGGACCCAGAGGAAACCCTTATAGCCTTCACTTTTAATGCCACACTTCCCGTGTACACAGGAACCTCCCATTCCACTGTTGGGAATATGAGTTCTGGACCTTGTCCATTTCAGCTGTAGGCCACTGCTGTCCCTTTCTGGGCCGTGAGGTCTGCCTTCAGCCTGGAAAACCAGGTCTCTTCCAGAGTTGGGACTGATTGGGGGCCTAGGAGAGAGGGAAGAGCAAGAAACTGGGGTTCTTCCCCCTCCCTGGGGCCATTTAGGCTGATCACTGCCGAACAGCAGTTCCTTTCCAGCAGATCTGTGTTGTTCTTGCACCCTCTAGTGGAAGAGAAGGTGAAGGAGCAACTAGAGGCTGCCAAGCCAGAGCCTGTCATTGAGGAAGTGGTGAGTACCTGGGTGGCCCCCTCCCTGGCTGTGTAGCTTCCTCCTCTAGATGTCTCTGTTCCCACCCTGCTTCCTTCCTTGCCTGTCTTCATTTTTCCACCTCTGTGCCCTGTCTCTCCACTCCCCTGAGGGTGGGCCTTGATCCTGATGAGTTGTCTCCTGTCTCCCTAGGATCTGGCTAACCTGGCACCCCGGAAACCTGATTGGTAAGTGTTATCCATGCAGGCTCTTTGGGGGATGGTGGTGCTTGTTGCATGTCATAGGTCCCTACTGGGAGGACAGCCAAGGACAGGCAAGGGGACAAGCAGTGCAGGCCTAGATCTGTACAAATCAGACATATGGGCTAAGTAGAGCATGACTGATGGCAGGGGGGAAGTGCCGCAGAGGGGCCCGCGATATGAACGCAGCTGTCCCTTCAAGCCTTCTGCAGGGCTGGAAACTCACCTGCTCTGGCGGCCCCATCTGAGCAGTGCATGCTTGTGCTCAGGAGAACACAGTGAAAATGGATGGACAAGCAGACATGGGTTTATGTCTCTGTTTTGACTGTAAAATAGGGTACCCAATCTCTTCAGGTCTAGAAGCCTGCAAGGTGTAGGTGGATTTTTCTTTGGGTTGCCCGCTCCCAAAAAATGACATGGAAGTTTATTATTAATTATGAAAGCTCGACCTTAGCTTAGGCTTCTTTCTTACTAGCTCTTATAATTTAGATTAACCCATTTCTACTAATCTATGTGTTCTCATGTGGCTCGTGATTTTTACATCTCCTCCTGCACGTCCTACTTCCTTTGTTCTTCTCCCTGAGACCTCTCTGTCCCCAGCAGTCCCGCCTAACCTCTTCCGGTCTAACTATTGGCCATTCAGCTCTTTGTGAAACCAGCCACAGTGACACATCTTCACACAGTGGAAAGGAACACTCTGCAATATTTCCACCTTTTTGTCTAAAAGAAAAGGTTTTAACTCAAGCATAATAAAACTATAAACAGTAAGAACAATTATCAGGTAAGAATTACATTTTAATTGTAATTAGTGTCCAATCCATTTGTATTTGGCAAATTCAGAGAAAACACTCCATTATCTATCCTCTCTTGATGAGTCCAAAGTTTTGTACCCAATTTACTTTCTGTCATGACTGAGGGACACTATAACTATCTGATAATCCCATCAAAGACCCAAGACCCCTAAATGATGACAAACATCCATAATCCACCAAATGACCAATAACAACCCACTCCAACTTTTGAGAAGGTGAGTGTTGTGTTCTCTAGACTGCTTCCTGTTGTCTGTGGGTGACAGCATCTTTAGGGAACATGAGAAAGTTGAGATAATGGTCAGGACCTGGGAAAACTAGCCATAACATTTGTTGTCCAGTCTCTGTGCAATGGGAAAGTGCAAGGCTTACCTGAAGTCCTGGCTGGAGTAGTCTGTGAGAGGCTGGACCATCTCAGCCAGCATCCTTCCCTGAAGTCCTGGCTGGAGTAGTCTGTGAGAGGCTGGACCATCTCAGCCAGCATCCTTGAAGCTATAGAACTCTGAGGAAACTGCAACAGAGGCACTCTGAGAAGTTGGTTCAGTTGGGCCACCCTTTTCTTGTTTTTTATTTGTTTTTTTGAGACAGGGTTTCTCTGTAGCTTTGGAGTCTGTCCTGGAACTAGCTCTTGTAGACCAGGCTGGCCTCGAATTCATAGAGATCCACCTGTCTCTGCCTCCCAAGTGCTGGGATTAAAGGCGTGCATCACCACTGCCCAGCGGGCCACCCCTTTTCATTGGTGTCTGGTCCCCTTGCTCTGAAAACACACAAACTTTCAAGCACATATCTGGGCCATCAGCTCAAAAATATGACCTAGAGACTTATTATTAATTATGGAAGCTTGGCCTTAGCCTAGGCTTGTTTTTAACTAGTCTTATAACTTAAATTAACCCATTTCTATTAACCTGCATGCTGTCACGTTTCTCCTGGCTTTAACCTCTCCTGCATGTCCTGTTTCCGATGTGCCTGGCTGGCGGCCCTGCCTTTCTTCTTCCCTGAGACCTCTCTGTCCCCAGAAGTCCACCTAGCCTCTTCCTGAATGGCTATTGGTCATTCAGCTCTTTATTAAACCAGTCACAGTGACACATCTTCACAAAGTGTAAAGGAACTTTCCATAACAGCAAGGCCCTCCAACTGAGCTGAGAAAGGGAGGGAGGTGCTGTAGACTGTAGCATGTGTCTCTGTGCCTTGGGCCAGCGGTCAACGCTGTTCTCTTTGCCTGCAGATTCATGTAGATACAGCACCTACTACAGCGCTTTAATTTGATGAAAGAGGCATGAGGTGTGTGTTGTAGGAACTGCAGAACCAGAGAACTCAGGCTGAATTCATGGGCACATCTGGAGGCCCCAGGCGTGGGAGGGTGGCTGTGGCAGCTGGCTCGGCAAGTTGCTCCCTGATGCTGACTTAGGGTACATAGCAGGCCGTTTTGTCTCAGCCCTCTACCTCAGCTGGGTTTGTAGTGCACATTCCCTTAGCTTAGTTATTAGCTCAGTGGACCCAGAAAGAATGGTGGCTCTTGAGGACCCAGAAGTGCAGAGAAGTCCATCTTCCCAGGGCAGCCCCTTAGACATCTGAGGATATAAATATTGAAGCGTTGCAGGAAGATCCCAGGGCCACACATGCAAGCCCTTAGCTTCCCAATTCCCCTCTTCCCTGTTCCAGGGATCTCAAGAGAGATGTGGCCAAGAAGCTGGAGAAGCTAGAAAAGCGGACCCAGAGAGCCATCGCAGAGCTGATCCGTAAGTGCTGGCCCGCGGGGTCCTGCCCCCAGGTGGTGACTTAGCACAGGGCCTCTTAACGCTTGTTCACTCCCCATTCAGGTGAACGCCTCAAAGGTCAAGAAGACAGCCTGGCTTCTGCAGTGGACGCCACCACTGGACAAGAGGCCTGTGACTCTGACTGAGGTGTTCTCCATGTCCCATCTGCCCAGCACCCATGTCCTGCGGGAAGATGGTCTTAGCCAGGGGTGGGTTTAGGCTGGCCAGCACTTCTGGGTCTCAAGAACTAAGCTAGCCCAGTCAAGTCTCAACCTCTTTGAGATGAGGCCAGCTCGTCCCCAGGGCATCCACCACTGTGAGTGTTTCAGAGCTAAGGTCTGTACATATGTGTGTATATTGAACTTTTTTTTTTTAACTTCTGGAAATAGAGACAAGTAAACTCCCATGTGGTAGAGGCCTGTCGTCATTTCCTGTTTGCTAGGTTCTCTGGGTTTGAACTCTTAGAATGCAGAGGTGATGCTCAATGTGCTTATTACCCCTGGGTTGGGCCAGCTTTGTTGAGGCTGGAGGTGTGGGTAGGGGCCAGGGCTGGCCTGCTGGCTCCAAGTCTCTAGTCAGAGTCAGCAATGGTCTTCTCAGAACTCTTGGGTCTTCTTAGGACCTCCCAGACCTCCCCCACACCGCCCTAAGCCTTGCAGTAATGTATAGGAACGCTGGAGAGACTCCCATAGAGGTCATCTGGACCCTCCCTGTGTGAGAGGGAAGAGGGTGGGCTCCCACAGATTTCCACATAGAACCACTGATGACTTGAGGCCACCACACTGCTTCCCCTGATTCTTCCCTGCTCCCAGCAGTGCAGCTCTTTCCTCTTCCAGTCAGAGCTCTAGGTCCCCTGACAGGAGTTCATTCTTTGTAATCCCCGCATTTAAGAGTCTGGGCAGGAGTTAAAAGACTGCCAGGGCTACACGGTGGGGCCCCAGCTTAGAAAAAAAGAGTCTGTGGGTGTGCACTTCCGTTGTCATTGTTGGCTTAGTGTGCACAAAGCCCTGGATTCACTGCGGTTACCACGTGAAGCAGGTGTACGTAACACCCTGCACTTGGATGGAGAGCAAGAGGATTGATTGGTTCAGTGTCATCCTCAGCTTCAGAGTGAGTACAGGGCCATCTGGACTATATGAGACTGTCTCAGAAGAGGGAGGAGGAAGAGGCAGTAGGATGGCTCCACAGGTAGAGGAACTTCCCACTGAACCTGATGACCCAGAATCCTATTATGGAGTTGATTCTCCTGCTAATCGTCCTCTGACATCTAAGCTTACAAGGGCATGCAGCTGCTGCTGGTGTGTGTGTGGGGGGGGGGGGGGGGAGATGTTCCAGAATGCATGGCACATACAAATCTCATTTTAAAAATTTTGGTTTATTGAGACTGGGTTTCTCTGTATAGCCTTGGCTATCCTGGTATTTGCTCTGTAGACCAGGCTGGCCTCCAACTCAGATCCACCTGCTTCTGCCTCCCAAGTACTGGGACTAAAGGTGTGTGCCACCATGTCCAACCCTCATTTTAAAAATGTGAAGTCTAGTACCCAAAAGAGTGGCCAATAATCCAGCAGTGGGTAGACTGGAATTCATCTTTTGGTGTTTTGCCTGCATCTATGCCTGGTTCCCATGGAAGCCAGAAGAGGGCAGCAGACCCTTGGAACTGGAGTTACAGGTTATAAGCAAGGGGAGATTTTTTTTTAATTTGTATTTATTTTTATTTTCTGTGCTTTGGTGTTTAGCCTGCATGTATGTTTTATGTGAGAGTGGAACGGGAGTTACAGACAGCAGCAAGCTACCATGTGGGTGCTGGGAATTGAACCCGGGCCTCTGGAAGAGCAATCAGTGTTCTTAACCGCTGATCATCTCTCCAGCCTTGCAAAGGGAGATGTATAGTCAAGGAAGCTGAAACAGTAGCCCTAAAATGAGTCTGTTTTATTATCAGAGAAATAAGGGGGCCCACACCCTATAACTCAACAAGAATTAGATGTAAAAACTAATTAGAAATCTTGAAAATTTTTCTCAGAATGGTATTACACACCTGTAATCCCAGGTCTCTTAGATTGAGGCAGGACATTGAGGCCAGTTTGGGCTGTAGGGAGATGGTGTCTCAGAAGAGAAAAGCCTTATGCCAGATTGAAAGAAAAGGGACCTGCAGAGCTCTGACGAGCACAGGATCTGCAAAGAGCGGCGGCAATGGCTGGAGTAACCAGCGCAATGGAGACTTGCAAGCACAGTGTACTTAGCTAGCTGGGGTGCTGGGTGTGCACACGGTCGTGGCGGATAATGAGACCGCTTCCAAAAGTTGCCTGTGTTTACTCTGACCCTAGTGTCCTGGTGAACTTTTCCATGTCTACACCAGGAGACAGGCCAGGAATGTTCACAGAAGCATACCACGTGCATGCACACTTGAAGCCATCAGGGATGTGAGTCCCTTTTGTGTGACCCCCCCCAGCCCCCTGCTTTACTTTCTCCTAGTGGCATCTGCGCTCACCTCAAGTCCCATCCACCACACTCTTTTACTTCTCGTTGGTCATTAATGTATCAGGGCTCCTGCAAGCTGCAGGGATGTCACGAGGCGAGGGTCATGAGGGTGATTTAAGCTAGGCACTTTGCCCATGACTGAAAGGAAGGCAACCGGCAGTGCTTGCTCCGGGATGTGGGAGAAACAGCAAATAAACCAGCATCTTTTGGAAAGATCAGTAAGGCTGACTGTTGAGCAAGACTGACAAGACATTTTAAGTACCAGGAATGAGAGTGTCATAATTCATAGGCATCAAAGTGCAAAAGTATATTATATACTTAAAAGTCTAACCAAGGGCTGGTGCGATGGTTCAGAGAGCAAAAGCACACAGAGGTGGAAGAACCGACTCCACAAAGTTGGCATCTGTCATGTGCACCCCCAGTGCACACACATGAGGTGAAGGCTTTTTTTTTTAAACATATGTTTCTTTTTTGCCTGCACATTTATCTCTGCACCACGTATGTGCCTGGTGCCTGACAAGGCCAGGAGAAGGTATCAGATCCACTGCCCCTAGAGTTACAGATGGTTGTGAGCCCCAATGTGGGTGCTGAAAATTGAACTGAGTCCTGTGAAAGAACAGCTTAACCACTAGCCATCTCTCCAGCCCCTAAGATTTATTTAAAAACAGAACAAAAGCCTTGTTTAGTGGCTTATACCAATAGTCTCATCACTCCGGAGGGAGGCTAAGGCAGAAAGATTGCTGTGAGTTCAAGGCCAGCCAGAACCGTACATGAGCTCTAAGTCAGCCTGAGCTAGTGTAAAACCTTGTCTCACGGGGAGAGTGGGGGGATAATGGAACCATTGAGTGCTCAGCAGCTGAAGGTGGTTGCCATCAATCCTGACAACCTAGCCTTACCCTGGGGACCCACATGGTAGAAGAGAACTGACTCCCTCCCAATAGTTTGTCCTCTGACTGCCACACACTCTCATGGCACACCAGAGCACTTACACACACACACACACACACACACTTCAAATTACAAAAGCTAAAGGCCACTTTTCCCAGATCCTCCAGTGCCCCACAAGAAGCTTCGCTGCGAAGAAGAAACAGAAAGGATGAGACTTCATGTCACCAGGGCTTGTAATTCCCCAGTTTCTCACATGGCCACTGGGTGGCAGCAGGAGACACCAGACTGGCTGCCTAAAGCATCTTCGCTCCGCCTGTTCTCCCTGTGGCCACCAACATAGCAGGACACGCCACCACATGAAGCACTCCTTTCTTTCCCATGGGCCTGTGTCCCCTGTTAAGTAGCTGGGTGTCAGAGATTATCTAGACTGGGATCCAGGTAATCTGAACCCAGAACAATGGTGACCATGTCCTGGGGAGGGCAGGTTCCAGGGACCAAGCAGGTCAGTCTAAGAAGTCTTCTGGTGTCCCTAACGACAAATTCAGCCCTGCCAGGCTCACCAATCTTGCTTCTCCTTGAGCTGGGGAGTCAACTTCATGTATGGTGTGTGTGTATGTGTGTGTGTTTGAGCCCTGGAGATAGGCACTTTCCGAAAACCTGACTGGGGAAGGGCATCTTGCCCGTGTACAGACTGACTTGGCATCCTCTCACCTTTGCTTGAACACACTGCTTACTGTTAACCCAGTGGAGCAGTGAGCTTGCCTACCAGATGGCTCTTAGTTGGCAGAACTAGGCAGTCCACAGAGTATGTGGGAGGACATGCTGGATCCTGGGCTATTCCTCTAGTCTCAGACCTGGCCTTGGGTTCACGCAGCTGTGGACAGACAGGGTATCCGAGCTGAGTTTCCTAGCCAGCCTGCCTCTTCCGTATGTATTTCTGGTTTTCTTTAAAAGTTCCCATTACTCAGGCCTTCAGTGGGCACCGAGACAGAAATAAACCCCGCAAGGCATCCCAGCCAGAAGCTGGGAATCCGATTCTCCCTCAAAGGGCGGAAGAGGCCCCTGTGCAGAGTATGCCAGACCACAATGGCCCACACACTCCACATGGCCATGAATATGCCCCCCCTCCATGCACACACACATGCATAGCCTTACATACATTTCCCACACACACTGGCTTCATACATGTACATATATAAGCCTCATGCACATGCAAGCATTCAGGTTTGCCTCACATAGAAGGACCCATACCTTTTGTAGGTTTGTCGTATGCACACATACACTCAGGCACACACTCCCTAAAAGCCTAACATCTAGTAGTGACCACACACTCTGGGTCCCAAACCCAGCCATTCTCAAGGTAATGATGGGCAAGAAAAGCAAGGCTGAAGAAGCTGAAGGAGGAGGCTGGCCCTGTGCAGCTTAGGAGGAGAGTGGCCTCATGGGAATCCTGGTCTAGGTCTGCCAGGGCTTCTGAATTTTTAAGAGAAGCTGGAAAGCTGAATTTTTATGTGAAATACCCTGATTTTTAAATGTTGGCTCAAGATGTTGAAAATACTGGGAGAGCCAAACCAAACATGTCTAAGAGCCAAATTCCACCCACAGGCGGCATTCGCAGACCACGGGTGTACACACAAACACACACACATACACAAAGATCACACGTACACAGACAGGCATACAAACAAAAAGTCACTGGTACAGTCTCCTAGATGCTCCAGAAGACACAGACATGTACGAAGACACACAGACAGATAGAAACATGATATAAATATACACTGGCACACATTCAAACACAGAGGTATACGTGCCAATAGAACCACAAGCAGACACAAGTACAAATAAATACACAAGTTTGCGCAGACCTCCAAATATACATAGACATCCGTGCACAATGCAGCCTTCTATCGTAGTGGTCTTGCTATGGCACACAGTGTAGCACCATGGCCTTTGGACAAAAACTACTGTGTGGTCCACACCATTACCCTTTGACTCAAATGCTGAAGAGTCTGGGTCAGGTTGACTTGGATGAACAAGTGCTTCATATGACTGGCAGAGGTGTTCTGGCAAAAGGCCTCCTCCGTCTGGTCTTTACAGGAAGTGATTGGATCCACAGGCATTGGTGAAGGGGTGGGTCTGGGCTGGCTGAGAACCCACCTCATGTCCCAGAACCTATCCTCCAGCCTGGCCTTAATGCTTCCCCTGCCTACATGACAGTGAAGTTGAAGCAGGAAGCTGTGAATGATTCCCCCTTGCATCCTGAAAGGTTGCCTCTTTGCCCATGGCAGGAAGATGAGAACCCTGTCCAGGTAGCTGAAGCTTAGCCTGGGGACAGACTTTCCTGGGGTCAGGAAAACTGAGCAGGGCCTGACCTCCAAGGAGCTGAGGCTCACAAAGGGTAGTAGGTGGCCCAGGGTAACACAGTATGCACACAGCCAGCCAGGGCCCAGGCCCCTGCTGGACTCCATAGCCCCTTTCCCCTCTGCCTCTCTTGGCCAGTGGGACCAGCCCTACCAAACCAAGGGTTATTTCGGTTTACTGGGGTAGCTTCAGGCTGGGATCGTTCTGTGATTGCCAAGAAGGCACCAAGGACAAGGAGGGAGCAGGACCCACCCTGGTTGTGCTGAAGTCACACCACAAGCCCCATATCCCTGTTCCCCAGAGCCAGTGACCGCTCAGGATCCTGGGTTAGGACTGTCGCTTCACAGATAGTCGGCAGGACTGAGTTCCTTCAGACCCCTGGACGGGGTCAATCCCTCTTGAACCTCCAGAGAACTCAGCACCCTCCCCTGGTCTATCCCTCTGTCACCTCCTTGGGGTGAGGACTGGAAACTGTGGACTACTATGGCCTGCCCACTGCAGCTTGCAGGCCAAGGGTGCGCAGCAATAGAATTTGTAGTCCCATGATTCCATTCTGAGCTGCAGCTATAGGCTTAACCCCACATGAGACTTCCCTCAGAGTGGACCTAACTCCTTTTTGTTGTTGTTTTGTTTTTCGAGACCAGGTTTCTCTGTAGCTTTGGAGCCTGTCCTGAAGTTAGCTCTTGTAGCCTTGAACTCCCAGAGATCCGCCTGCCTGTCTCCCGTGGGTGCGCCACCACTGCCCTGTAATTGCTCAGGATCTTAGCAATGCTCTCCCAGCTGGTGCTGAGGAGATGGGACCCACAGAGAGGTAGAACCTCTTGGCAGGCTCCAAGCAGGTGAGAGTTGGACCTGGCCACCACGCTGACCAGATCTGGAGTCCAGTGGATTCTGTGAGGTACCTGGATAACAGACTATGGAAGCAGTGGACAGGGGTCTCCTGATGCCCTCCTCCTTGTCTACTCAGTGACTAGCCCTGGTTCTGTTTATGTGTTCCTTGTGGCTTGGCTGGACTGCGGGACCTTGCAGGGAGAAATAACCACCTGGCTCCAGTGGCTGTTCAAGACAAACAGGGCCCTGACCATCTGCCAGGCCCGCTGAGGGCTCCCACGTCTGCCAACACCTGGACAGTCCAGGTGGGACTTGGGGGCCTCTGAGTGAGGGCCAGCCTAGGGCCAGAGGTTCCCAGTCCAGAGTCAGAGAACTGGTCTTGGGCTGATGTGCGGGGGCCAGTTCTGTCCTAGACATCCAGCCAGGGCAAGTGCTACTCAGCCTAAGGGTAAAGCAGCCATTCCTGTCCTGGGTACAAATATCCTAAGGAGGAGACCAGGCTCTGCTGAAGAGGTGTCAGCTGAATGTGGGCGGTCTGGTGTGACCTGGGTGCATAACGCAAGATGGAATCTTAGGGCATCCAACCCCTTTATAAAGAAAAACGGCAGCCCTATCTTGGGGACCCAAATGAAGATAACCAAGTGGGGAAGGTAACAGCTTGGCCAGGGGGTACTATCCAGATGTTTTCAGGTAACCTGCTCTCCTGCCTCCTCAGACCTTAGGTTCTTCTTCTAGAATGTCAAGTGACTCCAACTCAGCCTGGCTCAGCAGCCCTTGCGGACCCGGCCTGTGCGTCACCATCCACACTACACAGTGCTCCTCTAGAAGCCTTGGATGGTCATGTGACCTGCTGGCCATCAAGAACGGCAGATGGGCTTAGACTAGGAGTGCTCAGTTAAATGCCCACACCACCCAGTGTTTGAGTTAGATGGCTTTGGCCTGGGGCAGACCGGGGGGCGGGGGAGTCTGGAGGAAAAGCATTATGGTTTGAGCTGGCGAAGGGAGGATTTGATGGGAGCACCATTGGGAGACACAGTGAGCAAGGTATAGGTATGTAGCCTGTGTCAGGCCTTTTGAGGGCCCACACATGGTTCAAAGCTGGATTAAGAGGTCCCAGAGGATGAGGGCGTGGGTATGGAGGTGTCAGGTGGGGAAACTGAGCAAACGCTGTGTCCTTAGTGTAGGTATAAGTAGGTCTAGTCTTACAGACCTGCACACCAGCTAACCTTAGGGCCTCAACTCCTAGCTTCTGGAGCCAGGGCAGAGACAGCCTGACTTCCACTCACTGGCCAGGGTACTGTTCCTGCAACCTCCTGGTGGCTGGAGGTCTATCCCTTCCATTCTGGGAGCTGCAGTCATGCATGGAGGACTCCCTGGGTGGCTACCAGATGGGAAAGGTTCACCTGGTGGCAGAGCCTCAGGCCTGAGTTTGGGCCCTGGTGGACAGTGATTTGGGCTAGTAGGTAGGGGAGCTGTTCTAAAGAAGCCTGACTCCACATGTGTTCATGACAACAGGGGAAGGCTGGCTATTCCCACATAGGTCCACCTGGCTGTGATGATCCCTGCAGACTTGAACCTTTCTGGGCAGTGGGTTTTTTTTGTTTGCTTATTTGTTGTTTTTGTTTGTTTTGGTTTTTTAACACAGGGTTTCTTTGTAGCTTTGGAGCCTGTCCTAGAAATAGCTCTTGTAGACCAGGCTGGCCTCAGAGATCCTCTTGCCTCTGCCTCCGAGTGCTGGAATTAAAGGCATGCACCACCACCGCCCGGCTGCTTGTTTTTAAGACAGGGTCTCATGTACCCCAGGCTGCCTTCTACCTTGACCTACACAGCCAAGAATGTCCTTGACTATCTAAGAACTGGGATTTGGGTGCACCTAGTTTATAAGGTGCTGGAGTGGAACCTAGGGCTTCGTGAATGCCAGGTCAGTGCTCTACCAACTGAGTCACCTCGAGAGCAGAGTCATCTTTCTGTTGGACAATGCTGAATTCCCAAATCCCAGGCCCATCCTAGGTAATAGAATCCAGGGTCCTTCTCCCAGCCATGGGGTGAGGTCTCCCCAAACTCTCTCATAGCTCCTAGACCCCGCCTTCCTTGAATGAAACACAGGAAGCCACACAGCTCCCTTTTCCTTTTTTCTTTTTTTTTTCCTTTTGTTTTTCTTCCTGATCCAGTCCTGAATGGACAACCAGCCAACCATTGGCCTTTTGGTCCATCTATCCATTTGTCCATGCCAGGAGTCCAGTCCCTGGTTCCCAGTCACATGACTGTTTCCCATTCTTCTTGCAGCAATGGAGGTGGTCGTGTAGCCCCAGAGGCCTCCTCATCCAGGCCTGAGCAGGAGCCATTGAGGAATCCATCGTCCTTGGGAACCCCCATAGTAATTGGTATGGTTTCATTCTCAACAGTTGGAGCCCCTGGCTTGGCATGGCCAGGCAACTGGGAGTGGCCGTTGGTGGTGGTGGTGGCAGGCAGCAGGCGGGGGCTGAGGGGAAGGCTGAGTCCTGCACGGGGGCCTACATTGGTCACACTTGTGTGAGACACCATTGGGCCATAGCTATAGCTGCTACTCCCACTTCGTGCTTTGCGCTTGAAGTCCAATGCCAGTGTCCAGCGGCTCCAAGACTTCCTGATTTCTGCTTGTACCTTGGGGAAATAGATGGGTGGCAGTCAGGTGTGCCCTTAACCCTTGTGCCATGTGTTTTGCCTGACACCATCCCTGCAGTAAATGGCAGGCAACTACTGCAAACACCAAGGTCAAGTCAAATCACACGGATCCTCAGAACACAGGCAACAGATAGAGCCAGAACCCAAAGCTCAAATGGTCCAAAGATGGCTGGGCCCTCAGACTGAGTGGGACCAGGGAGACTCTTTGCTATATCACACACGGAGGAGCCCACACACCCCACGATAGGCTGAGTCTGAATTATCTTTGAAGCTGTGTCTATGTCTTCAGTGTGGTCAGAAAGGTTCTTGAGGAGCAAAGAATGAGGGGCTGAGGAGAGAATGAAGGGACAAGACTGGGAGAACTCCGACCCCGACTTCTACCTTGCCCCTGTGCCGCCTACTACTTACCTCACCATTGCAGAAACAGTATATGATGGCGACAAAAAATCCCTGTGAAGAGAGGCACGTGCAGTCAGGATCGCGTCCCATCCCCCACCCTGTTCCCCAGGAGCGGGGCAGGCGACATACCTGGAAGGAGTTGAAGAGCATCTCATAGTGCATCTGGATCTGCCAGAGTGTCCCTGAGACCTCAGTGTATGGCAAGGCCATGAAGACGGTGTAGTGGACACCGAAGAGAGGCACAAGGACCAGCGTGGACCTGAGCAGCTTCCTGGCCATTGGGGCAGGAGATTAGGCCATGTTCTTTGCCCCACAATACAGCACTTCATCTTCCCACCCCAACCAGGCCCAGGCTCCAGAAGTGATGGAAGGACCAGAGGCTCTGGCTACTGTCACTTGGCAACCAAGTTCAGCTAGATGGCTTATGCCAAGAGGCAAAGTGTTACTTGGGTTTTTTGGTTCTGAGAGGTGTCCTTGAGCACATCACAGGTACAGTTGCGCTGTCCTTGTCATGCCCTCTGCACCTGCTGGCATGCACCCATCCTCCATGACCCAACCCTTGGGTTTCTCCTGAGTGGATGTGTTACTGGCACCAACCTCTACCCATCTGCCCCTTTGATTCCCAGAATCCAGCTGCCTGAGGGTGGCTGGTATGTACTACAGTAGCAGGCCCTGGCCATAATGCAAAACACTTCATACCAAGTGACATGACCCAGCGCTGCTGTGCAGGCGGTGGGGGGGGGGGGGGCGGTGGGGAGCCACAGAGCCAGAGGTGACTCACAAGCTCAACCATAGGACCTCTATGCTGGCAACCAGTGACCCTGAACTCTACCCCAACTCCAAAGAGCCAGAACTCACCGGTACTGCTGCCTCGTGTCGCATCGGCCAGCATTGGTCTCCCGAAGCTTAGTGGCAAGCACCCGGATGATGTTGATGAAGAGGATGAAGTTGAGCTGTGGAGGGAGGCCACATTGGAGACTATACCCTAGTAGCACGGCACAAGGATTCCTGGATCCAGAGCCATGCCACAGGCCCTACTCTGTCACTGCATCTCTGGGTGGTCCCTGGGGCCCTCAGTTTCCCCATCTAGACTGGAGTAGGGATCATCTGGTCTGCAGGTCTTTGAGTTTCTGGCCCTTGGGGTCCAGGGAAGCCACTGTAGATGTTCTTGTTAAGGGCTAGTCATTCATGCTCACACTGACCCCGACTCTTGCTCACCACAACAGATGCCAGGATGGGCACCTGGATGATCCACTTCTTGTGCCCGGAGCTCAGGTCCCAGCACCTGGGTGAGGAGGAAACATTAACCACCGGCCCCTTCCTTTTCAGCCAACCCACGTAGGCCCCAGAGTGGCCTGCTCTGACATGAGCTGTCGAGGACACAGGACAGGTGTTGCATGTGTCCAGGCCTGATACACTCCGGGCCTCTTTGGAAGCCACCTCCTATAACTCTGAGGTGGTTCTTGGCCGAAGGCAGATCAGAAACCCCTGAGGCTAGAGCTGCTGCTGCCCGGAGTCTCCCATGATTCACAGAAGAGTGAGCCAGAGCATTTGCAGCCTGTGTCAAGGTTCCTGCCCACCTCGCAGTACTCTGCTGCTGGACCTACCCAGTGTTGGCCAAGGTTGCTCTGACACCGACCCACACAGCCACAAAGACAGCTGGAAGACCTGCGTGTACAGGGAACAACGGAAGGGTTGTGAATTTTGCCCCCAATCCAATGACTTTCCTCAGCTCACTGCCCCACCTCTCACCCTACGTACATGGGCTATTTAATGCCACCCTAACAGCCTGAAGTGCCAGCCCCGTTTAGGTTATGTGCAGGCCTGGGTTGATATGTGTTGTATCAAAAGCTTTTCCCAGCCGAGCGGTGGTGGCGCACGCCTTTAATCCCAGCACTCGGGAGGCAGAGGCAGGCGGATCTCTGTGAGTTCGAGGCCAGCCTGGTCTACAAGAGCTAGTTCCAGGACAGGAACCAAAAGCTCCGGAGAAACTCTGTCTCGACAATCAAACAAAAACAAAAACAAAAGCTTTTCCCAGCTCATTCTGCCCTGGACTTGGAAGTTCCATGCGAGGAGAGCCAGTGAACAGCATTTTTCTGTCAAAAACTACCTCTCCAAGCCTGGCATGAAAGGTTCTAGCCTTCATGGACGAGGGCAGATAAAATGAAGTTTGTCGTCCCGGGCTGTGCAGAGGCCACAGGGTCCTGACATATGGGAGTCTGAGTGAAGGGAGCCTGGCTGCCCTCCAGGCTTTTATTCCTAGCCTGATGGATCCTTGGGGGAAAAGGGTGTCACCTGGGTTTGTGGTAAGGGTGTGACATTCCCAGATCATAAGGTTCTGTGTGCTCCCTAATCCACATGTTTCCAGCCCACCCAGACACCTTCCAGTTCAGAGGCTTGTGTTAGTTCCTGGAATCAGGCCCAGACCTGCCCAGCTCTGGGGCTTGCTATGGTGAGGTCAGGGGTAGGGCATGTGCCAAGGGCCGAGGAGGCTGTGGAGACTGACCTGAGGGCTTTCTGGGTGCTGAGCCCAGGAGGCTCTAGCCACTGGCCCACCCCTCCACAGTCTGGCAGCTTTCCCCAGGGCCCAGCCAAGCTCCGGAGCTGCCAGCAATAATGGACAATTATCAGTAACTAGATCCCTGAGCCAGAGGGGGGCTGGTAGAATCGTAGCATCCCAGGAATCCGCTGCAGAGAGGTTACAGAATTTAAGTGGAACCGAGCTGCTGGGCCTGTGGCTCTGAACCGCGGGACCTCGCCTCCTGGTAACAGATGTGAGCCCCTCCACAGGGCTCTGGGTCAGGGTAGGGTCCAGACTATATCCCCAACCCTGGGATAACTAGTGACTGAAATTCCCACTCTGATCCCACATTTAACCTCATCTCAAACCCAGTAATTATCACCCCACGTGGGCTGAAATGCCAGTCAAGTCAACAGCCCTGGGAGAACCCTGCCCATGGCCAAGTTAAGTCCTCTAAACCTAGAGGAGGGTCTAAGTCACAGCAGGATGGGCAGGCCTCCCTTCACCCTCCCTACCCACCACACTGGTCTCCATACCCCAGCCAAAGATGGTGAAGCCCCACAAGTACTTCTTCTCCGAGAAAAAGGCCATGAAGATGAGGCTGTGCAAGTACAGCCCCTCCACCAGAATCCAGTAGTAATTGGTGGCCAGGAAGTAAAGGAAGAAGGTCACAGCCACACGGCAGCCAGCCTAGGAGACCAACTAGAGTTAGCGGAGAGGTAGAGCCCGCATCTTCTAGGCAAGGTCTGGTCTGCATTAGGTGAGAAGGCAGAGCTTACTCCGGGGCTTCCGGATGGGACCCGGTGTAGGTGTTGGGTGTTAGCAGCAGGTGGCCAGGTGAGAGGGGGTGGTTGGGGCACTCCAGTGTGGAAGGAAGGGGACTAGGAGCCGTTAGCAGTAAGACTGGGAGCTGAGCTGAGACGTGGCCCCTGTGAGATGGGTTTGCACGCCTGAAGCTGCAGAAGGTAGCAAGAGACAGGCAGGTGCAAATGGAGCCTGCGGGGCACTCACGTAGCCAACGGCAGCAGCGGCGGGCGGAGGCGGCACCTGCGCGATGATATGCAACTCTTCCTCAGTGAGGCGCTCGGCCTCATCCAGCGTGAAGCCTGAGTACAGTACTGCGTCCTTCACGAAGATGCTCGCGGCACGCAGCATAAACGACAGGAACATGTGCATGTGGATGTAGTTGCGCGTGCAGTGCAGCCGCCTGCGGGGCGTGCGACATCACTGTGGTGAGGACACGGGGGGGGGGGGGGCACGCAGCGGTGGGCAGGAAGCTGGGCTGTGCGCCGCCGTAGGTGGGGACATCACGCAGTGGGGGATGGAGCCAGTGAAGGGGGAGAAGGGAGGCTCGCACACTGGACCCCTCCAGACCCACCCTAAACCATGCCCCACCCCCACCCGGCTTTGTCCTTCCTCCCCCCCCCTTGCCCCGCCCACCTAAAATAGGCTAGGATGAGCACAGCCACTGTAAGGGAGGCGAGGGACATGGAGTATCCCACGGTGTAGATCATGCCTAAGCGGTCAAACACCTCCTGCGCAGGCAAGAGACATAGAACTGGGACTCAGGGTGGGCGCTGAGGGAAAACTGGAGGACAAATTAAGGTTGCTGGAGAAGTAAAGGCTAGGAGTGTGGGCTGGGTCGAGGTTCACTAATGGGGTGGGGATGGTCTTATGGGTTCGCACCCGTTCCCGAGTCTCGTTCGTCATGAATTTGAGGCACTCGCTGTAGTTGGCCCATGTTCGGTTGTGCCCGGGAACCACCTCCCAGCTGCCATTGCGGTCACAGCGTCTGTAGGCATGGCCTGTATGGGCAGTGGGACAGTCAGGGTAGTCATAGGAGGCCTGAGCTCCACTTTAGGGTATCCCCGGGGTTCTCAACCCTTTCGGCTCGTCTCACCTTTGTGATTGAAGTCATAAATGTAGTCCGGACAGGGCACCGCCACCACTTCACCTGGTGCCCCTAGTGGCCAGCAAACGATGTTGTCCCACTCCGGCAGGCAGGGACGTCCTGTGCCCAAAGAAAACACAGGGTAGGGGGCACAAAAGGAGGGTCAGATCCACAGTTACGGGACAGGGGTACACTTGTGCTTTGAGTCCCACAGGGGCAGTGTGCCCTGTGACTGGGAACTTCAGCTTTAGAGCATTCTGGAAAGAATATAGTGAGCTCTTCCTTCCTCTTGCTCTCTAAACCCGCTGGCTTCAGAGAACTTACTGCAGCCCTGTGATGGAGTCCTGACATGAATCCCATTTCCAGAAGGGCTGGAAAGGGACAAGAGAAGTGGCTAGCATGCTGAGTGACACGACACAGGCCCTTGGCCGCAGCTCAGCCTTTTCTCTCCCTCTGCTCTTGGTCTCACCTACTGTCTCTGAAGGGATTTAAAAAAAAAAAAAAAGACATTGTTTCACTATGTATATAGACCAGGCTAGCCTTGAACTCACAGGCATCCACCTGCCTCTGCCCCCAGAGTTCTGGGATTAAAGGCGTGTGCCACTGCAACCAACCTGAAGAAGAGCGTTTTCTCAGATTTTCCCTCAGCTTGGAGGCTCCCTAGAGACCACAGAAGGCAGGCTGGTTCCTGGTGCCAGCTGGACATCTAACGCGCTGCTGACCCCACACGGGGTCTCACTCTGCGTCTCTGTGTCTCCATTTCCTCACTGGGAAGTTGACCTTATCAGCCTAGACATCTACCATCCAGGGCCGCACATAAGACCCAGGATCAACCCCTCAAGAGGTGTACAATCCTCCAAATCCAAGCGCTAATGGGGAGTTTCAAAGGACAGTGATACGTCCCACTCTGGAGCCCTGACAGTCATGCTGAGTGACCTCAGAGGGTCCCCAGTCTCTAGATCACGCACATTCCACCCCAGATTACAGCCCCCTTCTCTCCCCCTACAGGGCTTTGACCACAGGACTCTAACCTCCCTGGAAGGCAGCCTTGATGGCTGGACCCGCCCAGCTCGGTGAAAGGCTCTCTGTCCTGGGCGCCATATTCCCAGCCCCACCCCGCCAGGCCCACAATTCCCTCTGGTCCCTGGGGAGCCACAGGGTGACCACAGGCTCCCAGATGTGGCCCATCTGGAATCTGCTGCCCACCCTGCTGGCTCTAACTGGCCTTGTGGCCACAGCTTGGGCTGTGTTTGTCTCTCCTCACCTCCCGGAGGCAACCCTGTTTCTCCCTCTCTCCTTTTCTCTCCTTGTCCCGCTGTCTGACTCCACCCCTGAGGCTGCCCTGCCCTCCTGCTGTTTCTGTGGCTCTTCCCACTCTGTGTCTTGCTGTACCTCATTTGACATACCAAGTCCTAGACTTTGGGTTGGAGCATCTTTATCCCTGTCTCCACTTCTCTCCCCAACTCCATCTCTCGGGACTCTATCCTCTCTCTGTCTCAGTGGGTCATGGGTTTCCTGTATGGGTGCTATTCTGGGGAGGGCTGGGTAAGTCTACTGTGCACATCTCTTTGTGCCTTGAGGCCACCCAACTGACCTGCTTTTCTGGAAAGAGAGCTGTGGTCTCTGACTTTCTGTAGAAACCCACATGACTAGGACATAACGGGAGGGACAGGTGGATCTGAGCCTGTCAAATGGCTGCCTGGGGAGAGGTAGAGGGCAGGCCAGACAGACATACCTCGGCGCCTGCTACCAGTGGGCACCTCCTTGTTCTCTTTAGATTCAGTGTAGAATTTTCCTGAAGCCTTCTCTTTCCTGGGCTTCCCCAATGTGGATGCTGGTGTCCACCCCTTGTCTGAATCCATTATGTTGGCTGGAGAAATCAGGACAATTAAATTAAAACCATCAGCTGTGCTAAAACAACAGCCCTGGGTTGTTGCTCCCCCCACTCTCACTTTTTACAATGAGGAGTTGACTCTACCAAGGATGCCAATACTCAGGTTGTTGGGCGATCAGAGATGAAGGACGGGTATGTGACTCAGAAACTGTGAAGGGTTTGCCAGACGGAGAGATGGGCAGGAAATAAAGCTGGTCAGCAGAGGTTCAATTGGGGGTAAATGCCATGAGCATGGGGTAGAGTGGGGGGAGTGAAGCAGAAAGGCTGGCAACCCAGAAGTCAGGACCACGAAGGAATGAACAGCCCACCAGAGGGCGCATGGCAAAAACTGGGAGCGATGGGGTGGCAAGGTAACGGTGAAAAGCAAGTCAGGCTAGCGGTGAGGAGGTTGGTGAAGGAGGCCAAGAGTAAAGGAGCAGGCAGATGAGTGCACCCACGCCATTCTCTGCCCTACAATACTTGAGTAAGTGGCCCTGAAGACACCACCTGAGCTGGAGCCTGGCCTTTCTCCCTGCCTCCTTAGCTGGAAAGTCCTCGCTATCTGACCTCTGTGAATTCAGCTATAGCCCAAGTCAGGGTACCCTGGCCCTCCTCCACCAGACTCTGTGGGAAGCGGAATCCAGGCAAGCTGGACTGGGAAGAGAAGGATTGTCAGCATCTTCCTGACTCCACCCTCAGGGAGAAGGTCCATCCATAGTGGATGAGGAATCAGAGATGGACACACACCACAGGCTCCCCAAGTAGGAAGAGAGCCAGGTTCAAGATCAAAGGAGGGTACTCATCTGCCCCTACCCTTGATGTGATGGGGAGTCACAGGTGGGGCCAGGGTAGGCGGGACTCTGTATACAGAGTGAGTCTCAATGAATGTGAACAAAGTCCACACACTTCACAGAGAATCTCACCATTCGCTTGTGTGCTGGGTATGTACGACAGCTGTCCCCCAGTAACCAGAGAGCCAGCTCCAGAGAGAAAGCCGCTCTGGAGGGACAGTAAGTCAGGGTCTTGGTCTCCTTTGCTGATGAGACCAACCAGAGTCCGAAGGCTGGACAAAGGCCAGTGTAGCCTATACCTGCTTCCAGGAAATGGACTCGAGGAAGGGGGCGGGGACTCCTGAGATAGGTCAGGGATCAGAACTGTGGTTGGATGGGTGATGCCTTCCTTCCCATGGGATAGGTCCCTTAGAGATGCTATGGGGAACCCCTCTGTAGGCCAAACACCCTCTCCAGGCTATAGGCGGATTCTTCTATCCTACCTACCCCATCTGGTTCTAGAGACTCTAGTTTTGCCCTGTCCAGATGGTCTCTTCAGAGACCTCCCCATCTTTCTAGACATGGCTATCTTTTCTCTGGGGAAGATCGCTCAGCCCACCATGTTAGGGCCCTGAGCCCTCATCACAGCTCCTGGCTTGTCTCAACCCATCTAAATCCACTGGGCTATGTGCGTTGTTTGCCTCTAATCTCCATTTGCAGACACGAGCGAATCTGTCCAAAGGCTTCTCTCTCTCTCTCTCTCTCTCTCTCTCTCTCTCTCACACACACACACACACACACACACACACACACACACACACAGAGCGAGAGAGAGAGAGAGAGAGAAGACATGGCCCACCTGAGCCTGCTGATTTCATATTAGGCCTTTACCTTGGCTGGGTCTCCCTTTATTAAGCCCACCCTAAGTTAACGCCTTCAACCCCTCCACCCAGCTGTCTCTGCCTCCTAGATGCCACCCTTATCACATGCCGACCTCACGCCACCTCATTTCCCCACTTTCACCTGCCGTGCGCAGGACTTCCTTGAGCAGCTTGTCACACTGGGCCTGGGCGCGGTGCAGCAGGAAAATCTGTTCCTCTTTGGTAAAGACATCGTCAGCGTCCACCTGCCAAGCCAAAGAGCAGACTGTAGGCAGCTCTTCCAGGTGAGGCAGCTGGTCCCAAAGTCAACCGACCTCCCCAGGGATGTCCCCCTTTCCAAAAGTCCTCCCTCCAGAGGGAATGTGGGAAGTCTGCCCCATGGGGAGCATCTGACTTACAGAGCTCCCCTTTTAAAGTTCTGAAGCCATGGCAACACAAGGGCTGGGACGGGCCCTTGCAGGGAGGAGAAAGGGGTGGGGGCTGTCCTCTGCGTGTCCAGCAGTAACCCGGCATCCACTGGCATTCTTTGTCTAGTCCATCCCCCTGAGGCACATGGGAACGGATGGAATGTCCCAGGATGGAGCCTCACAAGATCCTGGCTGCCTGCTGGGGACCTGGAGTTGGATCTGGAGTGCTGAACTCTGAAGAGACAAACCCCGCCTGGATTCCTTCGAGTCTCAAGGCCTCTGGGGACCATGACAGTCACCATTTTCCATCCTGGCCCAGCATCCAGTCAGTGCTTTTCCCAGTAAAGGGTTAGGGTCTCATCCTCCCTTCTTCAGGTCTCAAAGAGGGAGAATGGAAGAACTTCTCTTTGAATAGCTAGGGGATCGCTGGGCTGTGCAGGACCCCCCCACACAGTTCTAGGGGAGTCGCTTGGCTGTGCAGGACCCACACATGCAGTTCTAAGGGATCACTGTGCTGTGCTGTGCAGGACCCCCACACACTGTTCTAGGGAATCACTGTGCTGTGCAGGACCCCCGCACGCTGATCTAGGGGATTGCTGGGCTGTGCAGGACCCCCGCATGCTGTTCTAGGGCCGGGCATCCCACCGGAAGCTCCTCCACCCTAGCAGATGCTGTGGAGATGTGTGACCAGGCACAGGCCTTTGCTCTTGCTGACCTCCCTCTGCAGGAATTCCTCATTCTCTTCTTTCCACTCTGTTCACCCACTGGGACCCAGTCACATCATTTAACCGGGGAAAAGGGAACTGCGGAAGGGTAGGTAGAGTATCTCGCTGAACTGGTGGCTGCTGGAGAGAATCTGAGCCTCCTCTGACTTAAAAGCTGGGGCCAGTGTCCTGCCTGGGAGCAGTCCCTATCCCCACCTTGAGTATGACCATTAAGGGATCACACACCGGGATAGGTGTGATGCTCTGGGACAGCCCAGGGCTGTCAGATCTCATGGCCCCTGAGACGCCCCTAGAAAGGCTACCTCACTCTTAAAACTCCAGAGAACATAACCTGAGCTCTCTGAACAGGCAACGAAGCAAGCCCGTGCCTGGCCATGTGGGCAGGTCTCTTTAGTAAGGGTGGAGCTATAAGGGGCAGAGAATTTGGAGGCCTGAAAGGAAGGAGGCGGGTCAGAGTGGGGCCGGGCCGCCGAGAAGGGGCGGGCGGCCTGGGTCAGGGAGTCCGGCTGCTGAGAGAAGTTAATTGACCGCGTCTCTTGGCGGCAGCAGCTCAGGCTTCCAGGCCAAGGAGTCTCCAATTGGCTCCGCGGAGCAGAGTCTTGCTGGTTTTGCTTAGCCGAGGAGCGCGAGCATCTTTGCGCGTGCGTGTGACTGGCCGTGCACCCACTGTCGGGCCAGGGTGTAAACTTCTGTGTGCCCCATTTCTGTAATGCCTCACATAGGAACCGCCTAACACGTCTATTTGGGCCCCGGAGCCTGATGTGTTTGTGAACATGCATGTGTACATGTTTGTGGTCAAAGGACTATGTGTGGGCTTCTGGGTGTGCTGTAGAACTTCTCAACATGCATGCCTGTGTCTGCTGCTTCCGGAGCCTGGATCCGAAATGGGCTCTCGGGATTCAGCTGGCACTAATGCATAGGAGTCCCAGGAAGACTGAAGCGGATTCCAGTGTGCTGCTGGCCCAACGGCTCTAAACTCCCACTATTCTAACCACACCTACGGCAGAGCTGGCTGGGGCAGAATGAGTGATGAGGACCAGGTAGGACAAGCTGACTTGCTAAGATCCAGGGACCTCCAAAGCCACCCTGAAGCTGTCCTTATGTGTCTGTCACTGGGATCCTGTTACTCAAGGGTCTGATTCTTACCCACCTCACTCCTATTACAGCATCTACTACTCACTACCGTTCATTCTGTCACTGCAGTTAATAACTCCATCAACTACCGCCTTTCCATTAGCAGCAACAGAACCCTCACCACAGCCAGTGTTCCCAGCACCGTTGCTGCCAGTACCATTCCCACCATAACCACTACTAGCACCATTAATGTAGCCATCATTACCATCATCGTCACTGCCATAATTGGGCCAACACCATTACCAGATCACCGAAAATCACACCACCTACCACCATCTATCTACCTCGCCACCATCAGGACCAGATCCACCATGCCAGCATTAGCACCATCACCAGTATTACCACCTGCCTCATAACCACCCCGTGACACCTTCCTGTCACTTCTCCCTTCCACTTCCTTCTGCCCACCTCCTCTCCACCCGAGATATTTGATTCATCGTAGTTTTCTCCCCGTTAGTGGAGTGCTCTTGAGTCTCTGGTCCTCCCCTTGGTCTCTAAAGACTTGCTGATGCATTAGCTTCCTAATGGCCTGGCTAGCCACTGATGTGACCAGGGAGTCGAAGTTGATGGCTTAGATCAGAGCAGTCATGGGCTGAAAACTGTCCAGCTGACAACCAGAGACTGACCAATATGCCCACTCAGGGGCCTGGAGCGGGGGTGAGAGTGGGGTGGCCATTTAACCTTCCACCTGTTGTCAGCTTCCTCTTTTGTGGTCTTCTCTGGACTGGGAAGGCCACAGGCTCCAGGCATCCTCCTCCATAAGCCTTCATCCAACCCCAAGGATAGCGGCCCCATCTCTTCCCTCCCTGGGCGTTAAAACCTACTTCCCTGTCACCCCAATCAGAACAGAGCCGCCATGTGCTAGGGTGGATAACCCTCTACCCAGGGCACAGCTCCTCACCGGGAATGCCCAGACACCCTAACTCTTTCAGCTGCACCTCAAGGACTCCCCATTAACCCAGGAGTCCAAACCCCACCTCTACCATTGACTAGTCTCTGGAAAGTGGCTTAAGCCCAGTGCTTTAGGTTTCCTGTAAAATCAGAGTAATGGTAAGGGTTTAACCGAAGTACTGCATCAAGAGCCTGGGCAGGGCAGGCTGGAGGAGAGCTGGCTGCTGTTACAGCTACTGTGAGCAGAGGGGCTGACTCACCACTCCACCCCACCCCAGCCCCTTTGTCTGCAGGGGTCCACAACAAGGGGCTGGTTGTCTGTGGGGCCCTAGAGAGAACGGAGGGCCAGGAATGGAGGCAGTGCCAGGTGAAGTTGCCTGGATAGTTCCCTGAACTCACGCCATCACTCAGGGTCGCTGCCAGACTCCCAAGTTTGGGTTGGGGGTAGACAAGATTACCAGACCTCTATCCTGCTGGAAGCGGGACGAGGAGGAAACTGCTGATGACTCGGACTAGCCAGACATCAACACTGTCTGACGCTCCCTTCCCCTCCCCAGCTCAGCCACCCCCTTCCCTCCAGAGTACGAAAGACTCAGATCAGCATCTTCTTAGATCCAGAACCTGCATCTTGGGTCTCAGAGGCAAGACTAGGGGCTGGGTCACGGCCAGGTGCCACTTAGTCCAAACTCACCAGCGAGAGGGTCACCAGCCCTGGCACCAGCTGTCCCGCATACTGTCTTCCACCTTGTGGATTAGGGCCAACAGTTTCTCTGACCCACCTATCACAGTGCCCCCCCCCCCCCCGCCAGCAGCACAGCGCCTTCCCACGCACACACAAGCATGTCTAGAGTATGTGGACTTGCAGGGGCTGGTGTCACACAACCTCAGCCCTGATCTGGGAAGACAGCCTGCAGACACTGAGACAGGTCTGTGAAGCTCCAGGCAAGGCGCAGACAGGCAGGGACTGAAGCTGGCATGTTACTTACAAACCCGGATGTTGCTGAGCCCATGGCAGAGGAGACGCTGTCGAGAGACCTGGTGTACTCTGTCATCCCCAAGCTCAGGTGAGGTCTCAGTCTCATGATCTGAGACCTTCCAGCTCTGCACACTGAGATTACAGGTAGACACCGCCACTGGCTTAAATGTTCTAATTTCATTTAGCTCCCAGGGAGACCAGGAAGTACACAGGTGTGTCCAGGCTGATGACGGTGGTGATGGTAGAGACAGCAGTCCATACCATTACCCAAACGAGGCCACTTCCCCAACTTCCTCCCTTCACTGCCAGATTCTACACATTGGCATCTGTGATCTCAGACATGTCAAAATCCTACCCCTCCAGACAAAACTGGAGGAAATGAAATGAAGGAGTTTCTGCTTCTGTGCAAGGGGCTTCTACGGCATAATGTTTTCTTAGCAGGATGCCCTCTTGGGTCACAACAGTAACCCCCTTGCCAGTGTCGGCCTGGTCCCCTAAGGGACAGTATGCTTTGTTTCATTGCCTGCCATTGGAGAAGGCAGATATATCTGGTGTTTGCCCCTGGCTGGCCTCGCCCCACAAGACCCCCTTTGCTCACATCGACCTCACCTGCTGCTGCACACCCATTTTACAAAAGGGAGACTGAGGCCTAGATGATAGTTAGAAGAGGGCCAGGAGCAGAGCTAAGGTGCACTTTACACAAAAGCCGTAGTCTTGGAGCAAAGGAAATACACAGCTACATGGGTGTCGTGGCACTAGCCGCCGTAACATCATCTCTCCAGCACCCTGCATTGTATGTAACCTTTGCTGCATTGAGCAAACATACACAAAGGGGCTTGAACCAGTGGCGGAAGTAGCCGTAGAAGCAATAGGGCCACTGATGCTGGGATGCAGCTGACCCTCTAACTGGGCAGAGGACAACTGGCCTTCGGTGCCACGTGAGATGTGAATGACTCCCGCAAAGAAAAGAGAAATACTTGGCTCTCAGGAGATCCCCTTGTGACCTTTTGGCCTTCCTTCACCCCTTCTCCAGGTTCCACTACTGGGACCCATGCTGGCACCTCTCCTGTTTCCCATGCCAACTGGCTGGGGACTGTTCTCTTGTCCCTTGC